CCGCCATGCCCTTTCCAAGTTAGACAAGTCTTGGGAAGGATATGATCTATTATTTTGATTCTGATGACATTTTTGAACTCCTCGGAGGGTCAAAAGTTATTCCAGTCAGAGTTTTATTGCAAATGCTATGCATGGGTCGGTCCACAAGTCTGCAAGAGGCAAGTCAGTAGAAGGTCTTGACATCTCGTTAGCATCAATATCGGTAAGTCCTGACATTGCATTACCATCATTATTGCTAGGTCCTGAAATCTCATTATTACTGGACTTCTGGGACGATGCTCCAGTAACAGCTACATTCTGCACAGGACAAATGGCCGTGCAGTCTTGCCTCTTATCACCTTCATTCCCTATTGCTACTACCACTCCGGAGTCTCCATTTGAAACACCCGAATGCTCGGAAGGATGCTGGCTTTTATTTGACTCCAGGGAAATTTCTACAAGTATAGGAGACTCAAAGGCACAGTTTGCTTTTGGCTCAGATTCTACCTTATCAAGACATGCCGATGCCTCTTGAACTTGATCACCAGGTGAAGGATCCTGACCTTCACTGACTATTGCCTTGCTGGACTGTTGAATGGCAGTTCGACGGGCTCTAGTTGGTGTCTTAAGTTCTGGTGTTGGCTCAAGTGCAATTCCAGCAAGACGTTTTGAAGCTCGTCGAGGTACATTAAGCTCTTTTTTCCTTTTCGACCTGTGCTGGGTCTTCTTGACTTCATCCTGTATCATTTGACTGTCTAATGTCTGCTGATCTGAGACAACTTCAGCTGAAGTACAAGGTACAGGTTTGCTTTCACTAGGATCTTGTGTCTGTGGTGGCTGCTTAGTTTCTGGCAAGCTTGAGCTATTTAATTGGGCACTCACCCTACCTGCAGATGTAATTGGGTAAGAACTCAGAGGTGTTGTAAGAAATAATGACAGTCCACAACAAAGTAGAACTCAGATAAACCTGCTTCCCTTTTCTGGATAAAGAAATATGCAGACAAGATAAACTATATTTAAAAAAAAAATAAATGGTACAGGTATAACAAAAACTATATTTCTGCAACAGAATCTCATTTACATTGATCTGAAGCATCTTCCAGGAGAGATGAACATTCTTTTGTACTAGCAGAATGATGATCCTGTTCATCTGGTACCATCCCATTGACTTTTAAGTCCTCCATTGTCTCTCCACTTGGTTCTCCGGTTTCCAACTTCTGTTCATCAGCTTCAGCAGGAGACTGGATGGATGGGGGAGAAAATTAGTGGCGAAAGTAAAAGTGGGCAATTGATAATTTTAATCAGAACAATTTCTCTCAAATAGCTTTTTTCATAGAAAATATTCATGAAAAGAGAAAGAATTCCAGATGCTACCCCAAGCAATAACCATGAATAGGAGATGAATTGTCATAGAGGTCAAGATTTTTCATTTTATAAGGGGCTTTCATTTGTTCCAAATATAGCTCGAAAAGGTTAGAAGCCTTGCTGAAGTTCACAGCCGCTTCTACGAATATATTTACTTTAGACATTAACAGGTCAAACAAAACATGCAATTGTAACACCAAATCACCAAAACAGAAGACTAAGTAGTTTTTTTTTTTGCCAGTTTGGTGTGTATCAAAAAGCTGAAGTCTCTGAAATAGTAGTAGTTTCCGCCAAACTACAGAAAAAATTCCTAATTAAAAACCAATATACTACGAGCATGGTTTGGTGATCAAATCCCCTAACTCCAAATTAGGCCCATTAAGTGGGTGTAAATAGAAGGGCTAATAAATTATTCATAAATCTAAAGTTGTATAAGCTCATTTAACAAACAAGGTAACCTCTTTGGCTGTGCTTATTATGTCTTGTTATTTAATTTAACATTCAAGTTTAAGAGTAGTTTATAAGCTATCTAATCTATGGTTCTTCATCTCATTCCAAACAGGTAAGAAATACTGAAGTTCTCTTTTTTTAAGGAGCTTGTAAGATTCCCTTGAATAAAAAGTAAGCTAAGCCAAACACTTTCTTACTAACTACAATTCTATAGACTCACATGTGTATGCACATGCATGAGTATGTTCATTTTGAGGGAGTAGCATCTTCATTACAATGTAAGAGACAACTGTGTTTGTAAAATATAAAGAGTTTTGACGGTGTATAACATGTAACTCACACGTCATTACTGCAAGACAATAAAAAATTTTGCCACCTGGTACATGCATTCACAACTATCCAGTATAATCTTGCATCAATCCAACCTAGAGTTTAACTGATCAAAGAGAGAAAAACAAATTTTTTTTTAAAGTCAAAAGTAGAGAGAAAAACAAAGTAAATTTATATAAACTGATAATCCAAACATAACTGGACTTACACAGCTTTTATCATCTTCCAAGTCTTCATCATTGTCCCCTTTTTCCCTAGGCTTGAATGCCTTCTTTCCAGGCTCCCCTGTTTGGACATAGCGTAGCGCATCCCTCATCGAACGGAATACATATCCACTTATTGGATCAGAGTAATACTGCATATTTGATAGTATTTAGAGAACAAAAATTTTTTTTCAAGGCCAAATATAAAAAATAAATAACAAAAAAACTCAAACTTTAATGTTTAAATAACAAAAACCCAGTAGTTTAAATACCTAAAAAAAGGAGGGCATAAAAGATAAATACCGGGTCTCGTCTAACTTTACGACCTTTCTTGGTTACTTTGATTTCCTTGATCCATCCCGCTGGTAACCCTTCAGCAGCACTTTTTTCAACTACAACCTGGATTGATTAGACATTAACCAAACCTTTATTTTATAGATCAATATAATTTGATAAAACATCGGAAACATACATAAGATCAAAGCAAAAAAAAAAAAAAAGCAGTTATTTGAACAGACAATTTCCCAGATTCCTTGCCTGGGCTGTTGTCCCGGATTTAGAGTAGCCAACATAACGATAGCAAGACACTCCTACCTTCAAGAATAATCAAAGTGCCAAGAGGAGGAAAGTAAGGCTGCAGTGAACCCAATCATCGACAGGAACTATGAACTCAATTAGCTTGCCGAAAGATGACCTAGAACTGGTAGGGCCATTGATATTTTCTTCTATCAGAATATTCACAACTAATCAGACAAAATTGACGAAATAGTTACAGCTGGACGCATCATTAGGAATATTGAAAGTTTAAGCGTATCACAGCACTACTTCCTAGCCATCTCAGGAGAGTTGAAACAAAAGGAATTCACGGCCATATCTCTAAATTTTCCTCCACATCTTGTGGTCTGTTCCAGGAACAACCTTCAGCAGAATGAGAAAGTGGAAGCATTACAATGGCGAGACAAGGCTTACCACCCCCAATTAGCTAATCTCTAGATAATATCCTACATTCCATCTCATCAAGGTCACAATCGCCATAGCATGCAAACCTTTTGACAGCATCCCAAGTAATCTTCTTTCCACTTCCTATATATCATTTTCTGTCAGAGCCAAAATCTGCCCCAATTGGAACTTTCAGAAAGGTTCAAGAATTCACCATCCAGAACTAAATACCACATGCAATCCATAATTTTCCTCTCACTCGTGCAAGCCTGATTGGCATGCAGCTTAAAGTTTCATTCTTTGAGCAAACAGTTACTAAATGCTCTACAATCAAACATGACATCTTCAACAAAAACTTATCTTAGAGTCTTAAATTCACAGAGGTACTTTCCTTAACCAGGAAATAAGTATCTTTTTACCACATCTAGTAAATAACGGAAACCCTCAATCAACGGTAAAACACGAGCTAAACTCGACCAGTAACCTTACAATTAAAAGAAAACTAAAAACAATTAGGATGGCAAATTTATTTCCAAAAGTGAAAATCACGAACAGACCATCAACGTAAATTGAAGATCTTACCTCCTGAAACTATATCCGTGAAAAGAAAAGAAATAAATCACCCATGAATCACAAGCTTGAAAAGAAACTAAGAAAAGATAAAACGAGGAAGGGTTTGACTAATAATTACCTTGTCCCTTTTACCATTCTTCTTCGTTCTCATCTCCACTCTCCAGCCGGCCGGTAGCGACTCATCGGACTTCTTGTCGTCCATTCACCGCAATCTCCAGTTTCGCCGGAAAAGATGACTGCGTTGAGCTATCAAAACCCAACTCTCCTTCGTCTTCTCTCTCTGTCTCTCTCTCTCTCTCTCTCTCTCTCTCTGCCGTTTGCTCCTTTCCTCGCGAGTCAAGACCCTCAAAGATGGAGCATTCAGGCAAAAGGGTTCCTCATAGACCACGTGTGGCCAAACTCCCTGTGTTGCAATTGGTGTGATACGCTAAACTTGTCCCTACAACAAACTGTGAGAGAATCTTGTACAACCAAGTCGATCCTACGGACAGCACAACATGTTTTGTCTTATTGTACTTATCGAAGGTAAGCCATCCCTGGTCTGCCGACGTACAACATCTTCGAAGCGTGATTTATATAGTTTGTTTTACAAATTACGCTCGCAGAGGATTCTGTTTTCCAACAAAGAAGCTCGTAATATTCTGGAAACGGGGATTCCACTTTTGAAGTGAGTCAAAAGGCGCAGATCCAGTGAAAAAAAAGCACCACGTAGCGTTAAAAGCCAACCAATAAAAAAGTGACGGGTGGTTCGGATGTTATCGTCTGTAGTTTGACTGAATCCTTAATTAACGGCGCAGATGGAATTGTGCTAGATATCGGGACCATGTGATTTTCTCCTAGTGCTGTACCGATGGGTAATGCCGCTTAGATTCGGAGTCTGCTTTCATCGAAATTTACCCTCCAATTGTTTGATATTTACAAATCATGCCATTTCTCCCAAACCGGGCTAATGAAGGCCCAGCTGGGGAATTTGGGCAGTGCGGACGCGTGGTCACCGAGTAAACATTTAAATAAACGTAATATATTTTTTTTATTAGTCCAATTTGAAAATTATATATGTATGAATTATTGCCATTTTTTTGTGTTACAGAAATTATTTAATCAATAAACTTTAAATTATATAAAATCTGAGATCATCAAATTCTACTGTGTGTATATATATATATATATGTGTATATATGATTATTAAAATAATCTTATCAATTATTATTATTATTATTTAAATGATTGATTTAACGTAGCTCACTTGAAATGAATGAGTGACGAATCTTTCACTCATATTAACAATAAAATAAATTTTATATATTAAAAATATCATATAGTATAAAAATTAGATATAAATTTTTAACGAACAAAGATGGTTGAGAAAGAGAGAAGAAGAAAATCACGACAGTGGCCATTTTCTCTAAATTCTTCTTTCTTCAATTATTAGATACAGAAAATATATATATATATATATCTCTCTCTCGAAAAGAAGAACGATATACATACACCACCACACATCGTTTACATAAACCTATATATATATATATATGCGTACACGTGAACCTCTTATGGGGCTCCGCGACCTGCGTTATGCTATTCTGTGCACCGACCGAAGGTCATCACCTTTTTAACAGTCGGAATATGAAAAAAAGAAAACTAAAGCATGTAAAATTAATAATCAAACACACATGGGAAAACAAGCTTTCACCTGCAACACCATATCATACATGCATATATATATATATATATATGTATCTAAATACCTTAAAAGACAAAAACAAAAGGGCTAGGTTGGCGTTTTGTAGTTTCAATCAATTATGAAGTCGGTTTGGTCCACCAGGAACAAACCGCCGTGAGACCACATGCAGAGGCCCGATCATCTTCTTCTCGGCAGAGCTCATAGTAGCGATGGCAGACAAGCTTTTTAAGAACATGGGAGAATATTTCTTTCTCAATACTTCTTCCTCGTCTGCCTCGCGGACATGTCCCTGCCGACTGCTTTCTTGGTTGACCACAACCAGAAATATCACCAAACTAATTTTCATTAAGAGGAAAACAATCGCGAACTGCTTACTTCTCATGATAATTGCAGATCAGCAGGAGGCGAGACTAATTAGACCAACCCAGCAACGAGGGTGGAAGGAAATTCGAACCGGACGTAGAACTCTTAGTGTATTAGTGGGTTTTATTATACGTGAGTATTACAGTTTATCTCTTAATTAATCTGGATATTAATATAATGTCGAAAGTTGACTTCCATTGAAGTCGTTTTCAGGGGAAAGAAGCTCCTCTACTCTAATTTAATTTAATGATCTTAAGCTGCATGTTACAGGATCCCCCTTCAAATAACTTGTTAATTTCAAACCACTTGAGTTTCTTTCGAGCTTTTAAGACGACAGTACGATGCATACATGCATGCATATTATTGGATAATGAAATCCATAATTATCAAGGAAAGAATATTTTTGGTCAAGCAAAAGACCAAGAAATTTACTAAAAACCCAATAATTTATGAATTTTCACACTAAAAGTATTATTTAATCTATCAAGAAATTAAAAAAAAAAAAAAGAAAACAAAGAAACGCAATATTAATTAATTAAGGAAAACCCAATAACTTTAATTAACTAATACAAGTTTTTTCAAACTAAATTTGCATGACCTGACCATTATATTTATTATGAGTATTTTAATACAATTATGTTGACATTTGTACCATGTGCAGCTATATCTATATATATATATCATCGCAAATCAATTATATAAAAAAAAAAAAAAAAAAAAATTGGGTTCAAACATTAGGTTTTCATTTCATCTAGTTCTAATTTTAATGATTAAACAGTAAAAATTGATTTGACTGGTAAAAAATTATGTAAATTGGACTGACGGGGTGACATATTTCTTGTTTCCGTCGTAAAAGACAAGATTACAAAATGCTCGAGCATCGTGGAAAAGAGAAAGGTGAAGATTACGAGGAAAAATAAAATGTGGACTTTTCAGGAGAAGCCAAATTGGGTGTTGTCAGCCTCCCCTCTCCTCTCCTCTCCATTAAACTAACATGAAGAAGACAAACCCAGTTCGTCTTTCAGATCTGCCTTCTTCCAATTCTTTACAACTTACTTCATCTTCTACCGTTCGACCTAAATGGTTTATCAAACATCGTTATCTACTCGTGTTATTTTAAAATCTTTTCTGTTGATGTCTGTGTAAGTATTCGTCAATTCATGCGTGCTTAATGACTCCAGATCTAACGCCAGAGACGACTCCATTTTCTTCGTGGTTTTCCCTTGCTGTTTAATTTCTGGGGGGAATTCAAACGATTTTCTGCAACTGAATAGACTGATGGACTACGGATACACAGTGATCTACAAACCCAAAAATGTAATGAACCATCAGTGAAATTTAATCAACTTACTCGTGATAATTCTAGTTATCGATTCTGTGTACAGATTCTCTGAATTTATTGCTCTTCTATACAATTTTTTTTATTCACGTGAAAAACAACAGGTCAACAAACTAGACTAAACTATATAATTTGGCTCGAGAAAAGAAAAGGAAACATCTGCTGAGAAGAGTAGAATCAATTGTGAAGTGGGTTTGGTCCCCCGGGGACAAGCTGATGAGAAACATCGTGCATTAGTTGGTTGCTCTTCTTCTTCTTCTCCGGCACGATATAGGACACAAGCCGCAAATACCAGAGCCCAAAACCTTTTCTTTCTCTCCACTCTGTCTCCTCATCAGCTTCCTGCCGACAGCATGAAAGATCCGCCATTCTTAACAAAGCCGTAAAGATCAGCAGAACCAGAAGCAAAAATCCATGCGTCCTCATGATCTTTTTTTTTTTTTTTTTTTTTTCCTTTTTATACGTCGACGACGGAGAATTTGGATGAAGAAACTAAAAATTGTGATTGAAAAGATAACTGCATCTTTTTTTGTAATTAACAAAAAAAAAAAACGTAATATATAAAAAATTGTCCGTCACTCATGTCATCAAGGACATGGTTGTCTTTCTCATCTAATCATTTATTAGTCTGGTTCGTATAATTGACGATCAGTTCATATTTTATTGGGCTTCCATACGAAGGTTACAAGAAAAGGCAGGCCGAGAGTTGGTTGGAATTAAATTAAACTTGGACCGAACAAAACTCAACAACTACTCATCTTTAATTTCTACGTACTCTCTAATTTCACTACACAATTTTAAAATATTTAATTATTCTTCATAATTTTAGTTTTTATATCTTTAAAATATTTCTATTAAGTACTTAATTCATAAATACAATATTATTATTAGTAAAAATGTTACGCGTGTTTAAAATAGACATATAATTTTAAATTAATTAAAATTTACGTGTTACGTATTGCATGATACTTCATCCGTATATGATTCCGACAACGATCGCATTATAGATTGAGTTAAATTAATTTTAATAACTCGTATATAATCTAGATTTACCTAGCAATTTCGTTACTAGCATTAACGTGGATTAACAATTGGAGAGTAAATTAATTTTTTTTAAAGTATATTGAATAAAAATACAACAAAATATTTTAAAATAATATATGTACCAATTTATTATACTGCCATTAAAAAATATGTGAAGCAATAAATAAATATTTGCAGCAATTTCACTAATAATATTAATATATATGTATATTAACCATTAGGGACCAAATTAATTTTTAAAAAATATATTGAATAAAAATATAAAAAATTAATTTAAACGTTTTCAAATAGTGCATGTACCAATTTACTATATTGCTATAAAAAATATGTAAGCAATAAATAAATTTGTGCAGCAATTTTATTAATAGTAATATTAATTAATGTGTATTAATAATTAGAGATTAAATTAATTTTTTAAAGTAGATTGTATACAAAAAATTTAAATATTTTTAAATGGTACATGTACCAATTTACTATGTTGCCGTTAAAAAATATGCAGAGCAAAAAATAAATTTGCGTAACAATTTTATTAATAACATTAATGTGCATTAATAAGTAGAGATTAAATTAAAATTTCAAAGTATATTAAATAAAAATAAATTTAAATATTTTTAAAGAGTATACGTATCATTTTACTATATTACCATTAAAAAATATGTAAAATAAGAAATAAATTTAAATAGAAATTTCACTAATAATATTAATGTAGATTAGCGATTATAAATTACATATTTTTTTAAAAAGTATATTGAATTTAAATTTTTTTAAATAGTACATGCACTAATTTATTATATTACCATTAAAAAATATGTAAAGTAAGAAATAAATATTCGTAATAATTTTACTAATAATATTATTAATGCATTAATAATTTAAGATTAAATTAATTTAAAACAAAAAATCGCATAAAAATATGAAAGATTTTTGAGTTAAATACTTTTAAATAATACATGTACCAATTTATTATATTGCCATTAAATAATATGTAAAGCAAGAAATAAATCTGCTTGTAACAACAGATCTGTTACCCCAAATATCTCCATGTACAGCTGACCTGCATCAGGGGAAAGGAAGCCTACTGTTTCCCTTCGATTCTCAAACCCAAAAACTGGAAGTTGAAGCAGAATGGAAATCGTGGAGAGGCAAGAAATGAAGCGCCAGGCAGAACTCGAGGCAGAAAAGCAGGAAGCTCCAGAGGCTTGATCCAGAGCTCAAGAAGCAGGATCGAGTTAGAAGAAGAAAGGGGGCGAACCAGATCGAGAAGTCAAGAACGCAGCTCGAGGGGGTTGGAATACTCGCCCTACAAATAAAGGGTAACCGAGCAGGGACTGGTGGACGGAGAATCGATAGCAGAGAGGTGAGGAAGGCGAATAAATAATACGCTTTTCGCAGGAGAACGGAGAATTTGAATGGGGGAAGGAGGATGAATTTTTCTGACCAAAATAAGAGGGAAACGGGAGTGAGAAGAAGCTTTCAAAAGAGGGGGAGATAGGGTCTCAAGAGTGTAGCAACTAAAGGTAAGGGAGCTTCTGTTATAGGGAACCATTCTGAGGCGTTTGAGGGTTGATTTGAGAGAGGATAGATAGCAGAGGGGAAAAGAGAGAGAAAGATAAGAAAGGTTTCGGGAAGCTGGGAAATTGAGTGCAGAGGGCTGGGGGTGGAGAAAGGAGAGTCCAAAAAGCCAGCCACGGCAGTAACGGAGTTCCAATTCCGAGAAACCAAAGAAGTTAAAAGAGAGGGTTTCGCAGGCTGAAAGGCGCTGATCAGGGCGGGGAATGCACTAAAGGAAGCCAAAAAAACAAAGGAAGAGGTTCTCAGCTTCTTGGCTAACAGGGGGTATATCCTGATCTTTTGCTTTCCTGTTTTGTGTCTGTGCTCATTTCAATATGTTAAAAACGCATTTGATGATGGTGAAAATGACTATTTGGTTCTTTATTTCACTGCCATTGCTATGTTACTCTGATTCTTCTGCATGTTCTGTTTTGGTATTGCCATGATCCATATACTGGTTTATCCATACTTGATGTAGGATTAATAGAAGTTGAGGTTTCCCCCTCTAGTGTTTTTCTTTTTCCTTCATGACATAACATCCGTGTTTCGTACTTGATCTTACTGATGTGAGTATGCTTATGCTTTTCACTGTCTGCGGTCATTCTTGGTTTTTTAGAAAAATCATGTTAGGCAATGTGACTTGTTCATGAATTCTGGGTCCCCTCTGTTAAAAGTGTTCCTTTTAGGGAAAGTAAACATTCATTTAATTGATCCGAGCCTAAATGCTAAAGTATATATGCTGAAGAGTGTTTTTGAGATTAAACTCAAGTGTATCCTCTGTGAGGGTCATTGTCTTTACTACCCGCACTCTTCACTATGAATGCATATTTCAGAAATACGTAGGTTTTTTTATCCATAGGCAGGAAATGAGAGCAGCAGGTGTAGTAAGCCAGTATTTAGGTTGGGCCTATGTTGATGGATGCATTTCTTGATAGTTGAACGTGTTCATTTAGTACATGGAATGGTTCTCTTGTCAAAAAAAAAAAAAAAAAGGAAGTAAAAAGATTGTTTCAGTGCATATATATGCTCGGTCACCTGGTGGATCTAAACTGAAAAACAAATGAATGAATTCTCATTATGTAAAATATGTGTCAAGAACTTGTGGAAGCCAGAAGTGTTTCTAATAAAAAAGGGATCATGTACCTCTGGATTTTGATAGAATGAAACCACAAGGTAGAATTCATTGAATCCTTTTTCTTCTTTCGAATATATTGAGCACTACATGGAATTGGTATGTGCAAACCATTAGGAACTTGAATGGATGGGAAAGAAATAAGATTGTCTAACTTTATCCCTCTCAATATGTTGATATTGAACCTTGAGAGTTCGTCTTTAAGAAGGTTTTTCAAGTGTTATATTTGCAAAATGCTCCTAATAAAACAGTTCATTTCTTTATTATTCATAGTTAGAATCAACTTTGACAACATTTAAATGGCAAAACTTAAGCGCAGAGAGTGGCTGATTACTTTTTAGTAATTCAAGTAGCTTACTCAACCTTAGATGTGTCCGACTGAGCTTTCAAGCAGTTTCTGACCTCAATATAACTTAAGTAAGTCCGAATTGGTGAAATTGGATGATAAGAGTGATCCTGCTAGATTGGCAAAAGTCATAGGATGCAAAAGTGTAGAGTTGCCAATTAAGTATCTAGGTACGTCTTTGGGGGTTGATTACAAAAATATAAGGACGTGGAACCCTGTTATGGAAAGGTTTGGGAGGAGGCCCGTAGGGTGGAAGAGAAATCTTTACGAGAATCGGAGTGTTAAAGGAAGATTGTTATAGTTGCATTAATTAATTTGTTATTAAAAAAAATTGTCGAAAGGAGGCTTGTTGCTCAGATAGAAAGCTATTCAAGCTGACCAACTCCAAAGTGCATGAGATCTCTGGCCGCATATTTATTTGTTATAGTTGCATTAATTAACTTGTTATTAAAAAAATTGTGGAAAGGAGGCTTGTTGCTCAGATAGAAAGCTATTCAAGCTGACCCAACTCCAAAGTGCATGAGATCTCTGGCCACATATTTGTTTTGTAATCATTAATCTTCCTGTATTGGAAGACTAATTGAGATATTTAATTGGAGGAACTGTGGGTAGCTAGTAACACAACCCCTGTGGAAGCTTCTGTATTTACTGGAACCTGCACCTGTTACCCTCATAGTAACAGCAGTGGGTTTGACATTTGGATCTGCCTTTCAGGCACTAAATTACGGGAAAGAAATGGAACAATATCTTGACTTATCAGGCATCTATTACATTAAATCAGTCTCAAGCATTTATCTTATTTCGAAGTAAATTTTTTTTTTTTAAAAAGTCGCATTAATTAACTTTGCAGTCATATGGCCTGAATTGGTACTTCTAGATTTCTCTACCACTTAAAATCTGTGATTATGTTTGGTTCCACAATATGCATGGATTATTTCTTAATTTTCTTAAGTTCAGCTTACTATTAATGGCATAAATTAAATGTGGTCATCAAAGATTTCTTGTTTGTACCTTTTCTTATTGAGTCTTTACATGTGTATATGTAGGTTCTTTGATGCTTTGAAACTTTCCGAAAAATCGTTTCCAAGCAATTGACATGGAAGAGGGTGATTCCGTTGTGAGGAGATGGGAGGACCTTGACACTGATATCTTGGTGAAGATATTTCAGTCATTTGACATCTTTGAGCTAACCAAAGGCATTGCTCATGTTTGCAGTTCGTGGCGTTTGGCCTGTCGTGATCCAATACTTTGGAAAACGCTTGATTTATCAATGTTGAAATCTAATTTCATCAAAATCCCTTTGGAGCCATATGTTTATGTCGGTGGCCAATCTGATGAGATATTGACCCGGTTGTTGAAAATATCGTTGAGTCTCAGCCATGGAAGCATATTAACCTTGATTTTCCATTTCAATTTATATGTAAGCGATGAGCAGTT